GGGGCAAAATACATTTCTGCCCCGGGCGCCCAGAACTCTGGTTACGCCACTGCTTAAGAGACTGAGGATTTTGTGCCAAATTCTTCTAAATGTGCCTCACGACAATAATATACAGTTGCTTTTTTGACAAGGAGATGTTTGCATACAAAAAACGTTTTGAATAAACAGTAGCATACTGTATTTGCACATACAACCTTTCCACCAAGCAGCCATAACATTTTCACTATAACATATTTGACTTTCATTTAGTGCACCAAATCGTGCTGCTTCATGAGTTTTTATCTCTGCTTAATCCCTCTTGTTGTGTCCTATCACTTCACGAAATCAAGACTGTCAACTCACATTGGGAAGAGAAGAAAGAAAAATAAATACTACTAAATCATATTGTGTTGGGAGCACACGATGCCTGTAAATCCTCCAGATTCATAAACAGATTGCACAGATAATATTTTGGAGGCTTTATAAAGTAATGTGTTGATAGAAATCAGATTTTGTTGTTCTGTGTAACTCTGACCCTGGATTAGAAGGCTAACTATCACATATATTTTCCCACCCATTCCACCAACTTGTTGATAGGGTCTACAAGATGAAAAGCAGATCCCTATTAATAAGCTGTCATGTATTTTGAAGTGTGACACACGCCAAACTATTTCTAAATTACTTGTTCTATGTTTGGGGTCAATATAATCCTCACATGACTTTATATTACATTCCAGACATAGCGCAGTCACAAAAGGAGAGTTATGTATGTAATGATCACAAAAGGAGCCATTACAGTCGTAAGCCATCCTATTTATATCTCCAGGATTCTTTCTCAGCAAACATATTATACTTCATACAGATATTCAAAATGTAGGCTGGAGATGGATAATGGATACAATGAATTTTATCTTTAGCACAAGGAGGCTGGGCTCTCCTCTTGCAGCCTCCTATGACAGGATTAATTAAAATAAAAACATGTGTGTGTGGGGGGAGGTGCAGGGTACAGTTCCAGTGGTTGTTTATATAATGGGGGGGGGCGAAAAAAAAATTCTGCCCCGGGCGCCCAGAACTCTGGTTACGTCACTGCAGCTGCCCACAGGACATCCCTTTATAGAAACCAGACAGTGTCTGCAGATCTGCACCCGTATAACTAGAGCACAGCTTGCAGATGCTGTTCAGCTTAGCTGACCCAGCATTATTCTTCAGTCAGCAACTATGCCCCCTAGTCGGCTGCTCCTTCCCCTCAGCGTGCCACGCACACTTTATTCACCTTTTTGGTCTTTCTGTTTTCCTACATACCAGTAAATAGAGTGCCTAAGAAGGGTGTTGCAGATAACAGAGTGGGCATAAAGCAATGAAACAGTGCATGAGGAAACAGCATTTTTATGATGGTCAGCAATGCATCAATCCTTATGTAAGCATGGTATATAGTTGCTGTGCTACTGAAGGGTGGTAACTAATTAAAAACTATGCAATACTGTTTGGCATGACTTCATTGTGATCCATCTCAGAGATATAGGAGGTGAACCAAAATACTAATTATGTCACTTTGGAAACACCACAGCACCATAACCACCAGTAAGTGCAATTTATGTCTGGTGTAGTATAACAGAAATTAGCATAACTTGTGATTTAACATTTTAGGTTGACATTACTGTAGCTCTCGAGAGCTGTACATGTGGGAGCCCGGGCACTAGTCCTACCCCACAATGCCCCCAACCTGTCTTCTTTCCTATGCATGCAGTCTCTTCAACCACAGTCTGCTCCACTGGTTGTACAGAAGTTGGTAGAAACCATATTTAAAAAGGTGTAGTATAGTCATCAACCACAGGAAAATAGATGGATCGTCAAATAACATTGGCAAAAAAAATGTCAGCACAGGATTTCACAGGGATTCTAGCCAAGGCATATAGTATGTTTCCTGTTGAATTTTTCCATATCACCTTAACATGTTTTAGATGTGATTGGGGTTGGCTTTTTAGGTTGTAAAAACCCCCAAATAAAAGCCTTTAATAAGTGCAGGCAAATGGACAAAAAATGTTTCCCTCACTAATAGTTCTATTTGATATCAGTGCATTACATCTAGTGGTAGTTTCATTGCTCTAATTAACATTTTGTTTCCTACAGGAACTGAACTTTCTACAGTAAAAACAAAGAATAATGCAGGCTGGTATGAATGAGCTCTTTTTTCCTGGATCTTCGCAGCTGTTTCCTTCTTTTCATCTTGTCATTGCTCTCATAAATTATAAAAGTGGTGCTACTGGTTGTATGATAAGTTGTTTGTGGCTGATTTATTGGTGTATCAAACTAAACTCAGGGTAACACAAAAGTCAGATTTTCACTAGTAGCTTACAATCATTCTTAGTTCTGGAATGGTTATTTATTGCTACATGGCGAACTCCTTACTTGCATTCCCTTACTGAAGAATTATTCAGCAGACAAGAAATTAAATTCTATGCAGATGAAAGCATGAAGATTAGGATATTGTTGGTGGGACATGCGAGGTATGAGGATGGGCAGATGACTCAACACCCATCATTCTCAGTGACATTTCTGTCCATCTTTCTGGTGTATATGGACTCAGCACAGTTGTAGTGATCACCCTTTTGGAACACCACCACTGCAATGATTGATATAGTCTCAGTCAGCCCAAAGTAACCAACACATGTTTTAGTAAGGGACCTGCAATAGATTGTCAATTGGACTATGTAACATAATGGGGGTGATTTACTAACCTAAATACACGCACGCACTAGGTGCGTGTGATTTTCACACAGCAAAACGTATTTATCAACCAAAAAGTCTCTAAAAGCATATTTCCACTAATGCCATATATGGAAAAATCATGCACATGATGCATATATAATGCAGCTTCACAGTTTAGACAAAAATGGTTAGCTCATGCATTTACATTACTGCATTCATCAACGATAGCAACACAATGTAGAGCTAATTTACACAACATCACCTTGCAATTCATGGAGGGCTTTGCACAACACACCTGCTGGGTGTGTACACACTACAAAGGTGTCTAGATTCCACCAATAGATCATGCTGGGAGGGAACACACTACAGAGGTGTATACTTGTTCGTGGCGTGTTTATAAGGTTAGTAAATCAACCCCAATATGTCATTATTAACTTTACCTACAGGAACTTGACAAATGTTAAGTGTCCTAAACAGCTAAATTGTGCAGATCTGATAGGGGTATAACTGCATCTACACACTTTTTGTTTTTTACATTTTTGTAATGCAATTCAACTGGAGAACCCCCTAAAGTATATTTATGCTTGGTAAATAGATTATTATTACTCAAGCAAATTGTTGATAAAATATCTCTAAATATTTAATAATTTTTTTTTTCAACACACCAAACAAGTTTCCTTACTTGTAGAAGAAAATCAAAAAGTGCCATTTTGGACCACTCATGGTGATGGACGTCTGGACAGCCCAGGTCTGCTTTTGGAGCTTTTCCATTCAACCAACACTTGTGGGAAAGGATTTTTTGGTAAGATCCCCACTTAAGTTTGACAGATGACTGTGTGATGTTATCAGTAGGAGACAAGAAGGAATCCCACAGTATAACTGGACATGGCAGAACATCTGAAAAACAAACAAAAAAACATAAAGAAAATTTTACTTTGATGATTTAAAACTGGGTAAACAGGAACTTTAGCCATCTTTCAACTGTTATTCTGTGTCTATAAAACCAAAATGTATATCAAATTGTTTTCTATGGGCAATGCTTCTCCTCCATTCATGTTTATAGTTTCTAAACATGAACCTACTTGTAAAGTTAGCCAGTTCTATTGAGGAACAAATGTACCAAAATGCATTTGCACGTGTATCTATTCTTTACATGGGGACTTGCTTATCTTCCAAAAAAAACCGAGAATATACCAAACATGCATTGGGACCTTTTATCAGGTTGGCTGCGTTTGGGAGCATATATTAGAGATGAATCTGTAAATATGATTGTGATAAAATTACAATGGACCAAATTAACCACACTGCTAACATATCACTAAATTAATTGTTTGATATCAGGCGGCTACCAAAAATTCATACGTAACAGTCCTGAACTGCATATGTTTTAAGTTTAAGTGCTGTTTTCTTTTCATAGTAAGATCTGATATTTAGCTTACAATTTAGAATGTAAACGGCAAGCCTTTAATCACTACCTTGACATTCAGGATATTTCCTTCTGGAATACGCCCTCATCACCCTCATCCTGTCTGGGAATTCAGATGAGCATATTGGTGCCATAGTGAACTATGTAATGTGAGAACTTTGTACATTAAAGTGATGTCTAGTTAGATATCTTGAAAGCAGAGATGTCTTTGTTGTAGGCTAGGATAAAATACCATTACATTGTTTTATCATAAATACCTAAATATTCAATCTCCACAAGACATGTTACTAACGTTAATAAGCTCAACATACATTCACAGCAGATAGAATTGTGTAAGTGTTTTCAGCAGGACAACATCCAACACCTCAAGTAAAATACAATTTCCACTTGTCACAATGACAAATGCCAGAAAAATGTACATTCTCATATGTATTCACTTTTGGGTATTCTCATCCACAGTGAAAAGCTTTCCATCCCATTAATTTCAACCAAATTACAGCTCTGTGATTTGTTCTTTAGTGGTTTCTATGATCTTTTGATTTGTGTTCTTTTTAAAGTTTATGAAATAAATGTGGTTTTCCCAAACTGAAAGAAGATTATCATTATCTCAATTTGTGATTAACCAGTTGACATCCGCGGTGTTAAACCCCCTTCCCATCCAGGCCATTTTTCAGTATTCAGCGCTGCGGTACTTTGACTGACATTTATTCCGTCATGCAGCGCTGTACTGAAATGAATTTTATACCCTTTTTTTGATAAGAGGTTAAAGAAGTCCATAACCATCACTCATATGGTGAAATCTATGTGCCATGCTTAAAGTGTATTTCTACTTTTGCATCTAAATTGGGTTAGCACCTAATTTACTGTATATTTGTTACATGTCCCCATTCACATAGCATAGTTACATAGTTACATAGTATTTGAGGTTGAATAAAGACATTAGTCCATCAAGTCCAACCTATTAGGATCTCATTCTAGGAGTACAAGCATATATTTAAAAATTGAAGCTTACCTTTTTTAATGATCCTGGGAAATCCTGCTTAGTTATCACTGGGAGGGTTGGGGGAAGTCTGGTTTTAAATAAAAAACCCCATCTGTATTTCATTATTGTGTAGCACCCTGTAAGCAGGAGTGCTTAGTAATGTTAGTATTGTTAGATTGTAATCAGTCTGATGCTGACTTGTAGTCTATGCGCATCTGGTTTCCCTTAATCAGTCTGTCTCATTTGCATCTGCCTGCTGCTATGTGTACCCTGGCCTCAGGACAGAGCAACCAATTAGAGACTGTTATCAGTATGTATGTCTCCCTGGCCAATCACTAGGATGTTAAAGGAGAACTATGGGGTTAAGGCTTTTCCCCATAGTTCTCCTTAGTGTAATGGGAGGACACAAACTAGCACCCTCCCGTCACCCTAGGCTTAGTATACCGCGAGCTGTAGCTCGCGGTATACTGAGACGCCGCAGCTGAAGCGGATCCCAACAATTATGCCGGGATCCGTCCAGCTGTGTGACTGACAGCTGGATCTGCCTATCTAGAGGCAGAGCCAGCTGTACCCGCCCCCTCCCCCGTCCGTTCTGCCAGTCAGCGCTGGCGGATCGGAGCGGGGAGAGGGGAATCCAGCCCCTCCCCTGTCACGGCAGAGAGTTGTGACAGGATAGAGAGGTGAGAGAACGCCGGTATGTGTTCGCTCACCTCCCGATCTACTGAGCCGACCTGTGACAGTCTCATTGTCACAGGTCAGCTAGACTATGAGGTGAGTGAAAAGCACTCACCTCATAGTTCTCCTTTAATGACCATTGTTGCATGCTGGGAGAGGAGATTAAAACTTGGTCAAGACCATGTGAGCTCTACCTGGGGGTAGGCTGCTGTGGACTGTCTGATTTGGCTTGGCCTAAAGCCTGGGGACTAGACATGTGCTCACACTGAGGCCTGAGTCTGGGGGCCCAGTGATTACTACTGATACTAAGGATGAAGATGACCAATGACTTCTGATTCAAGTACTGCTTGGCAAGGTGCTCTATGCACAGATTGGCATGTCTGGCTTAAAGGTCCTAGTCTTTGATGGCAGCAGTTACTCTGACCTATTGCTTAAAAGAGTCATCACCAGCCTGGATGATCCTGACCCCCAACCTCTCTCCCTGAAGTTCATCAATAAAGTTCCTCAGCATCATATCTACAGTCTGAACCTCGCTTTTATCGGTCACCATAGAGGGTGGTAAGTGCTAATGGGTAGTTTGAATCTGGATACCCCTAGACATGACAATAATGGATGGTTCTACTATTCTCTGCGGCCCCTTTGGGGGTGTGTTACACTTGCTTGTAAGTACTGTCTGCCCTAACAAATGGTTGAAGACCTCAGGACATATTAATGAACTTAAAAAAAAACCTGTCCCTTATCAGTCACAGGCATTTATTCTAACTACTAGAAGCTACCTGCAGTTTCCTACCTATAATCTTGCTCCAAAAAAACAGCTAAAAAGGTAAGATTTTTAAAAATATTGTTTTAGGTATGCCATGTGAAAAGGAACACATAATAAACATATAAAAGGTGTTTTATTTCTTCAAATTTGACTGCACAAGTGGATATAACTTCAACAAATAAAGCATCTGCATTGACTTGTTATTTTTATAATCTTTGCCTTTATCTTGTTAGATTTATGTGCTAAATTCTGTTCTCCGCTGTCATCAGAATTATCCTGATGACACCCCGCCCAGTAGGCCCTGCAGTATTATTTGAACAGTATCTGATTGTTTTTTTGGTTTTCTTTTGCAGTGCAGCATGAAAATCACGATGTAAATATCTTTGGAGTAGATCTAAGCATGATTGAAAGCAAAATAATGACTGTAAGCCTTTATTACAAGGAGTCCCAGTTTTCGAAGGCGACAATGTATTATTTGCATTATTATTATATTATTATTATTTAGTATAATTTGCATTAAGTATGTTACCATAAAAGGGGAATTCTAGTAAAGTTTTTTTTAAAAGGCTGTTACAAATGTTCATCCCTTGCTCCTATTAATCACATTATCGTTCCAGGCCTCAAGCACTATCTTGGCCCATTTTGTCTACCTCAATTTATAGTCTTTTTGTCACAGCACAGATAGAAAGAGTGTTTACCAAAAACAGTTTCTCTTATACCTCCTAAATAAGCCTCACAAAATTGTTAGCCATAGTCCTCTTTCAGCTATAACAAACATGAAACACCATGGCTGACTTACCATCATGGCTGCAGCACATCTTCCTGCCTCACATTTATTATTTATTTATTACGTGCAGTGATGTTGCATGAAACAGAATTTTCACAGAATAGATGGAGTCAAAATGTCTTACAAACATATAATAAATTTAAGCTTAGAGATTGTGGGTCTCAGTCATTAGAGTACATCTGCATTAGGCACACTACAGGAAAATAGAAAAGACTTACAGGTTGACCATGGCTAGTATAACTGTTTTTTCCTCTTTAAAATGGACTGCCTATTTAAAGACTTGTGTACAAAATGTACAATGGACTTGGTGTGTAATATGTAATAAGTGATACACCAATACAAAACGGAAATTATCATCTTTCCATATTTAACAAAAAATGTGTTAACAGCATTGGAGTAACAAAGAATTTGCACAACAATAGTATCAACATGGAACAGGCCCATTTTATGTCTGAGTCACCTTCCTGAGGAAATTGCTTGGAGATAACAGAATGCAGACCTGCTAGATACACACACACACAACGCAAGCCTAATCTTTGCTTTTACAATAAACTACACTGCTGCTAATAAACAATCAGATCCATACATAATGCTATAGAAATTAACATTTCAGCAGTATCGTGGCTTGGCCTTCCATAAGTTTTTTTTTAGAACAAGTAGTCTCATAGGGATTGCAGTCATTAGGATATGGAATACCAAGGTATAGTTAATCAAAGACAACTGGATTCATTGCAGTAGCTTCTCCAGTACTTGTACTGGAGGGATTTCTCTGACATTTTATGCCACTACGTGAATGATTGAAAACCTTCATAAACATCTTTGAATTCATTATTGAGGAGCACTTTCAAGCGTATGTAAACCCTAACAATAAAATATACTATATACTGTAACTATTTTTGCTTTGTTTTTGTTTCCTGTTTAATATTCCACGGGAAACATCTTGTGCTATCTGTTTGATAAGTGCAAAAAAAAAAAACATTCAGAAATCTCCGGTCTCTTCTCTATACTTCCTGTTTAATTACAAAGATCCTTCTTAGATCAACACATATATTTTGGTACTTGCAGGGTTTTTTAAGGGATACACCATGGGCAAATGTGCATGTACCACAGATATATACTGCATATGTTTGTTTTTTTTATTTTGCCCTGACAAACTGGACATATCGAACCATGAAAGGTGCAGACATCGGGCATCTACAACTTATAGCTTTTACCTCATGGAAAAAGGTTGAGAACCGTAAAGTTCTAGCAAAAAGCTTAATAA